CATGTTCGCACTTTTTCAAAAATTCTGCGATACCCCCTTCCCAAAACCACACACGCGACCCCTCGCTCGAAATAATGCGAACGGACGTTTGACCCTGCCCTGGAGCCCATGCAGCCCAAATGTAGACTGCAGTTCGTCGACTGCACGTGACCTTTCAGCCCCCATTTTGGGACCAATTAGTGGGTTTTTTGTTTTCATTTCCGTTTCATTTTCGTTTCAAGGTTGTTCTGCATCATACGGTGGGTATTTCTTTCCAATTTGGGATAAGATTCCTAAAAATTTCCCTGACCTGACTCGGCCGCAAAACGTAAAACATGCGCGGTTCCCAACGTGTTAAAGTAGCCTTTCGCGTTATCTATGTTCGCATCAGCCGCCATCAGATCACTTTGTAGGGCCTGTCGCGCATTTCGAGCCGCGACAAAGGCAGAACGGTGATAGTTATGAGCTAACCTACCCACCCATAAAATGGATTCTTCGACCCATCGCATCTGGAGCTGTTGCTTCAACTAACCAGGAAGGCATTCAACTTCCCATGGAACTTTGAATTGAGACCCAGATATATCGATAGAGCTTCAAACGCTGATTACAAATATGGAAACTAAAACTGCAAAATGAACCTGCCAAGGAAGTTGTGAGCAGTCAAAGTTGGCTGGAAGTAAAGCACATGAACACTAGCCTTCCGGGCTTTCAGAGTCGCCGTGGAGTAGTGGTAATGCTCTCGCTCTCCAGCCGGTAGGTCATGAGTTCTCTTCCCGTTCATGTGCAAAGTTCGAGATCACTACCACTACTCCACGGCGACTTTGAATGCCCGACGCTAGCACTGTTCATATGTTTTGCTTTAAAGGAGGAATTCACGATTAGAATGAAGGTCGAAGAAAGGGAAACTGACCTAGTTGAGGGACCCACGGACCTCCTGAGGGTGCGAACTGACGCGCAATTCGCATGGAAAAATTTGACCTCGGCGACCTATCATGCCTCAAAGCTGGCGGGTCCGGCGATCTCCGCCCACCGATCATCTGATCACTCGCCGTAGTTCAATACGTGGCGAGTGATTAGATAGCTGAGAGAGCGTAGTGTTGAAGAGGGCACAGCGATGAGAGTCGCATCAATGCTCAAATCAACGGGCAAGGAAGGGGTCCATTTCTCGGGTTCTGGGCCGTTTCTCATGGTTCTTCCTTCTTTCGTGTACCACTCACCATCCCTAGGTTAATTTGAAATGGGTTGCTTTTTCATCGTGAATTCGTCCTTTAATTCCTACCATTTCCGACTGCTCACCAACTTCTTTGGCAGTCCATTTAGCAGTTCTGGTTTCCATATTTGTAATCAGCATTAGAAACTCTATCGAACCATATGGGTCTTAATTCAAAGTCCCATGGGAAGTTGAATAACTTGTAAAATAAAAATTAGAATGCCTTCCCTGGTAAGGGAATAGCTAGCACAGCATTGCACAGTTAGCGCTCTCTGAAAGCTCCACTAGAAAGCATGGATAGAGAGCGCTTTTCACAGTGCAGCGCTATGCAGAACTTTGAGATTCCAGTCAACTCCAACTAGGTTACGGGTAGGATTTCTGTTTGAATGGGAAAACCCGATAAAAACTTATTCACATTCAAAGCCATAGATAACAAAATATTACATGCAATGCCACAGATGAACGTTGGAAATTCACATAGAATTTTCAAACCCTACAAAGAAATTTTAAGAAAGATGTCTTTGTAGTACAGTGACGCCCTTTTTAGCTGTTGGATGTGCCAAAATAAATAAATAATAAATAAATTAACAATAATAAAAAAATGTTTGGAGTTTGATGAATTCGAATAAGTTAATTCTATTCATCGTATTTTTGAAGCATGTTTCTGAGCAACATCCGCCTCACTTTGACAAACGCTTGCCCGCCGGTCCAGCTGCAATGTTGCTAAGTTGTTTCGAGCCCCGTTCGGCTTTGTCGCCAGTTCACTGATCTCACATCCAATTTCGAATCTGTAAAACGACCACTTGCAAAATATAAGTGCACAGATCTTTTCGATACGAAGAGAAGGGAAGGGGGTTTCCAAGTAGCAAAGAATATTTCCATACAACTGACCTTTCCTAAAACAGTGAGCTGCAAACGGAATGTGTCATGCCTTGATTCAATGCAGTACTCCCCAAAGGCTAACAATAGAGCGATAATAGAGTCCCGTAATGAGAACATAGAAAATACCTGAAAAAAATGACTTCTTATCCTCGCACTTATATGTACATTTTTAATGTTAAGGAATGCTAACGGCTTCAATTTCAAAGATTTAGGATGGACTCGTTTTAAAGGCAAAGTCTTAGGATTGTTGGTGTGTTGTGCGCTTGAAAGTAACTTGTGAATTTAAGTGAAGTATTTAAAGGAACCGTCAACCAAGTGCCCTGAAGAAAACCCCTTCCATGCGGGTGGAATCCATGAGAAGCGTGATCCCCATGCTGCACTTTGATCTCGTCGCCTCTGTTAATCTCATAAAGTCGCAACAGGGTGTATGCCTCCGCGCTTGCACTTCAAACCTAATATTCTCGTGCAAGGGTTGTCTTCCGTCAAGCATTCTTGTACTTGGCTCCAAAGGAAGCGATCACGATAAAGAGAGAGCGCATCGGGGAAGTATACGCAACACAGGAAGCAGTAGCTTGGCTGCTAAGGAATTCAAGTTGCGCTTTCACTGCAAGACGTGAGCTGGTATGCTTGCAACCCCAGCTTTAGTTATGAATTGGTAAGCCTGTGTTGCCGCGCAGCGAACCAACTGAGCAACTCGACCGAGGATGTTCCCTGGACACAAACGCGTAGCGGTAACTCGTTAATCCGAACCGCTGTTTCAGCAAGTGCAAAGTGCAACCGACGAAAATCAACGGCCAAGTATAGGGGTCCCGTTTTGCGTTTCTTGATGGATTTTTTTTTGCTTTCTCGCCTCTGACATACCATTGAGCATCCCCAAGTCCCCTCTGAACCCTTCTAGAACCTTTCGTAATCGCTGCCTACGAGAAGCAAATTTCAAGGCGTTTGCAGCAGTGACCAAACTGCTTTAATGGCACTTCACGGTTTGGGTGTGGCTATGAGTTAAAAAAATGAAATTGTAGTCCGTCTAAGTGGTCATTTACCAAAACCGAAAGACAAAGGTCGGGCAGAGATCCTAGGATCCTTTCTGTCTTGCATTCAAATCAATGAATCTTAAACGATTTATCGAGTGACACATACGCCCGGGATAAGAAAGGCAGACGTAAATGGATAGAAAGCGTAAACGAAGAATGAGTTCACGGCGAGAGCGGAAAAAGTGTCGGAGTAGACTGAGCCCTAGCAGTCCGCTTACAATCTGTGATTAAGATTGAAATAACTGAGTCCATCTTAAGACAACTTCTATCATTGATGGTGCACTTCCGCAAATGCAATGAGGAAATCCCTAACAATTCAGAGGAGCATGCCCTAGAATGGAAAAGTATTTCGCAAACTGAGATGATCGCGACTTCCACCACTGGGGAAGTCAAATGGGGGGAAATTTTATGACCCGCTCAACTCCAACAGCGGTTTAACTATGCCGTCGATCTTGCATCTCGTCCTCAACAGTCGCCTCCCTCGATCACAGTCAGGTCTCACAAGGGAAGGATACCAGGTCGAAGTGGCCATTTGTAACGAGACATACACCACTAGATGTGTTTTTGGACGCTGATCTCGAATCTGCTCTCCAAATCTGCGGAACGATTCTCTGAACGTAGTTATGAAGCGAGATAGTGCAGTGGCAGCGGCCCGGCCGACGGAAAAGAGGTCGTGGGATCGAATTCTTGGCGATATCTCACATTTGCTTTCCTTGAGACATTGCTAAAGATGCTTTTATCCATATAAATTATTAGCGATTGCCTATATTACAAGTGGGAATAGCTAGCGAGGAGCATCTAACACTGTGCGCGCCATTCGCAAAAGATCGCCCCTTGTACTCGTAGCGCACGCGTCAGGCGCATTCGTGCCAAACAGAGGTGATATTCGTATTCAGCGCGTCAAAATGCCCCTTTCCACAACTTTTGGTCCAAATCTGAAATTTGTACCTAACTTTGCAAATGTGGGCAGTCACCGTTGGTCATTTGCACATGGCACGCACACTTGATCGAAACTCCTCGCTATCTCCTCGCACTAGTAATAAAGGCGAGTGCTGATGACTTAGCATAGATGAGGATTTCCTTAACAATGTCCTCAGGAAAAGCAAAAGTCAAAACTCGCCGAAAATTCGATCCCACGACGTCTTTCCCGTTGGCCCGGGCCGCTGCCACTGCACTATCTCGCTTCATATTTGGAGTTCGGAGATTCAACGATCAGTGTCCAACAACCACCAATCTAAGTGGTCATGTCTGCATTACAATGCCGACTTCGACCTGGGACTCTCCTTGTAACTAGTACTTATCCTATGATTTTTGTTAATACGGGTCGTTCGCGACAAAAAACGAACACCATTTTGCAATTTTTTCGGACTAATATTGAGTTAATGCAACTAGCCTGAAATATCTCCCTTCTTCTGCTTTAACGTCTGGTTTTTGTCCACAACAAGTTCTTTTTCTTCGCATGACACCCTTAGTTGCCATCTCTACTTTTCGCTTTCTAAAGCAATCACCACCGAATGTGTGAGATTTTTCCAAATGACTGGGTGCCTTCCGATGATTTAAGAGTATGTGGTAAGGCAGAAAACTCACCGCAAAAACACTTTGAGGAGGAGACGCCCGAGACTTCTCTGATTGCGGAGAACAGGATGGACCTTCTGAAATCGAGCAGTCATTGGAGAAGTCGAACAAATTGGCTCGACGAAGTGAACAGACCTCTTCATATCGGCCAACCAATTTGAATCTTTTATCGCCTCAGTATAGTCCGTCCTGCAGTTGTAGAACCGTTGTCGAGACAGTAATGTCCGCGAATGGTGACCTCCTTAGTAACGCGATTCCCATAACCCTGAAAATCGCTTCATAAAACAAACATGCTGTTGGTCAACGTGAACCGAGCCAAATGGGGGGGGGGCGCTAGAGTTTGGCTCGCTAACATATCCCGAAAACCGTCACCTTATGAGTCGGAGGATTTCCGCAATACTTTGCACACTGGCAGTTCCCTCTCCATGTAGTACTCTGAGCATTGATTGACATCCATCATTAAGCATAGTCCGGCTGTTAACGCGAAAAGCAATTCCCTCCTGAAAAGAAGCCGAGTATTAGGGCAATTCGGGAACTACTTCAAGCCATGTCAAGAGGCTCCCCACTGGGTTTTCTTAACAACATGGCCTTCTTGAAATGTTAACGCAGTTTTCCTTGAAATACGCAGAAGCGTAGTATGCGGAGGCTCACAAAAAGAAGCAAATAACACTATTGCTCTTCTTTTCCCTAGCGTTAGTTTCTCGCAGTCGTAGAGTCCACTCAGTCGTGGCCACTGCATCTTCTGCTGTGGCAGTGACTGCACGCAGGGGAAAACCCAGGCAAGTCGTGTGTACGCTTCCACCGATCTCCTTAGATAGACCCTCAGATGACAATCCCAAACGTGGCGTTCCGTGAGAAAACCAAACTGCTAAAGGTACTTTCCAGCGTGTGACGTGTAGTTGCAGACAGGGTGAATATCGGTCGAGGAAATCCTCGACAGGGGGGTCGTACCTGGGCTGGTCCATGGGGGGTCGTACTCTTGGGGTCAGTAACAGAAGTGGTATCGTGGTGCAGATAGGTAATAGGGTATAGCGCAGCAGAAAATGAAAACATCTGAAAAAAAACATGATATTAAATTTTCTTTGCAGGTTCAGTCGCTCCATTCCTCCACCTTCATGAGAAGGGCGTATTTGAAGGCAGTACAAAGAATGAAAGTGCATCCCCGCAAAGAAGACTGCCACATGTGCGCACGCGCTGCAAAGGCACCTCCCTGCCTATCGCTCGCTCCTTCTCCCTTAATGCCTCGCTGAGAATGACACTGTTGTTAGGGACCTGTCGCAAAAACGACAACCGTGAAGGAAAAGCCCTGGGCAAATGAAGTTGTTCTTTAGGTTGTAAGAGTTACGAAATGCGTTTACTACAATGCAGCTTCTGTCAACTGGTCATGATCATATGACACCTTCGAATCGATTCTGCAACTTCGAGTGAGGTCGGATGCATGGCCTATACTCAGACAAAATTCGATGATGACGATTGCCCCTTTTCCTATTGCTTATGTTGGGAGGATGTTTTCTAGACCCAACAATACACTTGCAATAGGTGAAGAGAAGGAGCGGATTTTCCAGGTGGCCGGATCCGTCCTCGATACATACTCGACGCAGATATCTTCTCAACTAGGAAACGTGTAGAAGAAAGCTAAGGACAATCAGAAAGCGCAAACCTTCCGCTTTCCAAAACTATCTTCACTTTTTCAGGATCTCACGTTTTAAGAGAGATATTGCTCTTGAAGTGGCAAAAACTCGCGTGAAAATTTCAGCGTCCTCGACGTTTACTCGACGAAATTTGAGAGACCCTATCTTTCTGCATGGAAGGCTTTCAGAGCAATTTCAATACTTCTTGGAAACGCGAAATCCAGCTCTATCTAACCCTACCTCAAACTGCTTCAAAGGTTATGAAATGGAGGAATGCAACCTTTTCATCGAGGGTGTAGATTTCGACGGTTTTTTTCGGGATTTCAGCAAATCTGACCCAGTGACAATCGCGCCGCAGCTGCCGTTGAATCGGCCTTTGATACACTCGGCTGTTTTGATATACTCAAGCAAGAATCAAGATTAAATCGCAACCCCGTGTCTTCAGGATTTCTGTGCATTTCTGAACGAACCTCGACTTTGAGGTCACACAAAGTTAATGCCTCTTTCCTCGAGTCGATATTTCAGTAAATACACAAAAGTGTGCAGCGATGAAAGACAGTGCATAGATGACAAGATGAAGCGTCCTTAGCATTATTTTGCAGAATTTTTTTGATTTGTTTTGCAGGATTTATTTTAATTGAATTAATTTGCTCTGTTAGAGGGGGTCGTGCCAGGATCTCGATTTCGGGGGGGGGGTCGTACCTCTGCGACCACGTACTCGACACGATTTTCACCCTGCTGCTGAAGCCGCAGGCTTTTCTTTTCTTGTCTGGCGCTCTCTCATCCGTAGCACTCTCTCGCCTCATACTCTTCTCTACGCGCTTATTCTCTCATTCTCTCAGCACAGCCGATTACGAATTTGAGTGAACCTCTGCCCCTAAGCATTTTCGACGGATTCTTTTCCTTCTTTTCTTCCAGCGACTCCATTTCGCATCAATAAATTCGTATTCGTGTACAAGAGCCACACCAATGTGATCGTGGGGCATGCCTTAAGTCCTTTTCGATTACGTCCCTCCACCTCACCTTTGGGCCTCCTCGCGAATGCTTGCCTTTGCACTACGTTCACTACTGCTAATGTTCCTAGCGCGCTTAAGACCCTGGAAAGTTGAGCTTTGTAATCTAGAACGTTAATTAAGGCAGTTCGCTTCGACCGCTGCAAGTCTTTTACACAGGTTTTCGTTT